AAGTAGAGGAATATTGTATGAAAAAGATAAAAAGTGAAGAATGTTGTATGGGAATAATAAAAAGTAGAGAATATTGTATGGAAAAGTTAAAAAGTAAGTAATGATTTTTTGGATAGGTGTGTATTTTGTATGAAAAAAAGAAAAAGTAAGTAATGATTTTCTAGGTATGTGTGTAATTTGTATGAAAAAACTAAAAGGTAAGTAATGATTAGGTGTTATTTTTGGTAATAGGAGGAACATTTTGGGACACCCAAAATAGTATATTTGCCTGTAATTATGGGACGGAGGGAGTAATTTTTATGTATTCTGCAATATATTGAAGCACACCTCATGTCATAGCTCTCTAAATCTCGTTACATTCTTGTAGGCTCCTGCTTTGTTCACACATGTGATCATGGGATCGCCATCAACTTGGCATTTGGAATCCTTACTCATGTTGGTTAGTATAGTAGCAAGTAGCATCTTCTAAGACCTTAGTTTATATACTCCTATGAAGAATTAAGGGTGTATCTCTTTGTTCGAAGGATATGCAATAACTATCGATTGTCTTCGGTGATTTGGTTGAACTATATATCATTGAGTTCAATCCTCGCAAAAAATAGGTAATAACTTAATGCTCCCTAATGAAATGGAAGAAAGTTAATAGAAGTATATGTTAATAAAACAGAAAGAGTTGAGTAAAAGATCAACCTGAGCCCTAATGATGGCACTTTTCTTCTCTTGTTCAGCTTTCTCTACAACAAACTTACTCCTCTCGGCCTCTTGATGAGCAATCTGCTTAGCTTCAATTGATTCCATGAACTCTTTTCCGAAATTCAGGCTCGTAGTCGACACATCGTCAACCTCTATGCCCTCTCCATCAATAATTTCCATATCTCTCTACTAACATTTTGCACCAAAACAATTTTCATCACGATTACGATCATATATCCATTTTAACTATCCTAGGGACTAATAGATTTCTTCATTCGTGTAAAATTATCAGTTGTTAGGTTATTTAATTAACAACTAGATATCTAACTTGTTGACAAAATTGTAATTTTACTTTACTATAGGACCTACGTGTCCTATTGCCCCTTCATTTCACGGTTAGTTATCTAACGGCTAGATTGAAAACAATGTCTACATACAACTACTACAACATGTTAGAACAAGTTGCTTGGTTGGGTTTGGAAGACATTTTACCACTTCTTAAGTTGGGGATTGCCCACTTGGAACTTTACAAAAATCATTTGACATTAGATAAAAATCAAAATTTAACAATGAAAATATTGTTTAGATCATAAAATCAATTTAAAACCCACAAAATAAAAGAAAAATAAAACAAATCACAATGTTTTTTTTTGTTTAAGTTAAATCACAATAGATATGTATACTACAATGGTTCAAACTTACTTGGGTCAGCGTGAGTCTCACATAATTAGTTCCAACATGATTAGTGCTACCAACAGGATTAGAACTAGAAGAGTTAACCAAATACATAGATAAATTACACAATGTGGTTACTCCAATAACATCACAAAAGGGGTAGTTCTGAGCTTCCATCAAAATATCATTTCCCAAAGAACAAGTCCTAGCCCATCTAGCCATCTGGTCAGCTTTTGTACTATGCTCCCTTCCAATCTTAACAGCTCCAGCTCTACCTAACCGTCAGCTTCAGGATTTCCTTGTTTCAACACAGATAATTTTTTTTTTTCCTCCTTGGTTAGATGAAGGATCTTATTGGATTAAAGTCTTTTACAAGACAACCAATCTAAGTTATCGGGCTAACCAATTTGGAAGAGTGGGACTAAAGGTAAGGGAATCTTCTCTTCCAAATTGGCTTTAATGGGGTTGAACTATCTAATGTTTAGAAGATGCTCTCCTTTCTATTAGGCTAGGATGGACCTTGGTAACTCTATGATGATTATTATATGTAGGGTGTCCATTCGGGTTTCAGTTTGGATTTAGGCCAAATTTGATCCAATTCGAAATATAATTCGGTTTTCAATTTTCCAATCTGATCCGATCCAAATTTATCTCCCAATCCAATCCAAATTAAAATTCCGTTATTTGGATTCGATTCAAAAATCCAAATTAAAGTACGTTAATTTTTAACGCCTATTACGATTATAAAAATAAAGCCTTAATATTAATACAAGTCTTCAAAATCATGATTAAAATAAAACAGTTCAACATCAAGTCATTATACAAAGTCTCCCTAATTTATTTTATGTAGTAGTAAGTAATTGGGCTAAACTTTAAAAGCCCAATCATAAAATAAAGAAATCCATATTCATACAAGCTTAATTTTACAATTCGGTTATCGGTTTTATTTGGATCTAATTAGGGTCAATCCAATCCAATCCGAAAATTCGAATTTTAAAAAAATCTCAATCCTATCCGATCCAATTTAAAGTTTAGGTTCGATCCAAATCAATAATTCGGTTTGAATTGGATTGGATTTTGGTTTAATCCAAATAATGAACACCCCTAATTATATGACTTATGAGGAAAAAACAAGTTTCATCATGCTATTATTGTACTTAACAACTACTCATACAAACAACGATAAAAGGAGGTACATCAAAATTGTTAGAATTGGAATTTATTTTGAATCATTTGAGTTATATTATTATATATGATTATTATATGACTCATGAGGAAAAAACAAGTTTCATCACTATTATTGTATTTAACAACTACTCATATAAACAATGATAAAAGGAGGTCATCAAAATTGTTAGAATTGAAATTTTATTTTGAAATTATTTGAGTTGTTTAAAATTTGATTGAGTTGAAGATATGATAATAATACTGTAGTACGTAGATCTGTCACAATCATTAAATTATGAAGTTTAAAATATGCTAATAACTGAAATTATTTTAATTACTTGAATTTTGAAATTTTTTAGATTTGATGATTGGAACTTTAAAGCATATATTCATGTATATGTGAAATTAATTTTGTAAAACATAACATGTACATTCGTAAATTTGTTTAAGGAGTGTACATACATTAATCAATAAATTTTTTTTAATAACCCATCTAACTTTTATGTTTTTTCGCTGTTGTCAAAAAAATTGATCTTCTATGATAATGAAACACTGCCAATCGAGAATAAAACGTTAATTTTGCCAACACAACTAGCATCTACCACAACAATTACATATATATTCATGCAATCATCATCTACCACCACAATTAATTTTGCCAATCATATCCTTGTTCTCCATGCTTTGTCAAATTCAAATTTTTTTTTTTAAAAAATCAATCCATCAAATTCAACATCATCAACATGGCTTAAAATTGATGCAAGCTAAGATTGACAAAGATGCACCTAATAAAGCTATTAATCACAGAATTCTCTCAAGTTGTCACACCACATTATAGTATAAGATGTTGATATAACAATGAAGAATGAAGAATCACTCATTTCCAAGGCCCTTAAACGAACTACAAGGAAATAGGCCCTTTCAAGCCTTATGCCTCTAAAACAAAAGAATAATGTATATGGAAGATGAACACATGGAATCTTCTCTTCCATACCAGCCAAATATCTCACTGCAATCCACTTCTGTGGCTTTGGCTCATATCCAAAGGACCACAAAATAATATTATACCAAAAATAGTCCAAATACCTCATACAATGTCTAAAATACCCCTATATAATTAAATTGTTTGGTGGTGGAATTGAGCATTTTGTCCCACCCCAAAATTTCATAATCAGTTTGTCAATGAACACTAGTTAAAGTGTGTTGTTCGATTCACAGACAAATTCATGAAAAGTTTATTTTTCCAAAAAATGGACATATGTGTACTAATAAGTCTTGTGTAAGGTAGGTGTATATTAATTTTATTGTAAGACGGTTAGTTTGAGAGTAACTTTAACTATTTTTTTTTTGGTAACTTTAATCACTTAAAGAGTAACTTTTAATTGTCGTTGGTTTTAATTTAATTATAATGTGTAATTTCTTATAGATTCATGATTACATACTATAAAGGCTAATATGATTAATCTAATACATTATAAGTTTTTTATAAGATAAAATTTATTATTAGAAAAATAATAACTTTTGCAGTATAAAGGATAACTTTAAATACTTTTATGATAATCTTAACCCGTCTTACAATAAATTAACTTACACCAGCCTTTTTGGAGAATTTGTGTATGTGTACTTGTTTGGTTGACAATAATGTAAGAAGTGGGACATCTTAGGAAGTTCTACTTTCCACAAAATGCATGGAGGAATTATCTTACCTAATCCTAGGTATGAGAAGTTGAAATTCTTACATCTAATCAAACAATTATTGGTAATTATTCCAAGGAATTATAATTTCATGAACAGTGAGATTTCATGGATGTTTCTACTTGCTACATCCAACCAAACAGGCACTTTAACAAAAATTTTCCCTAGAGGCTAGAGCTTGCTAACAGTTTGTTATGTGGGATGTGTGAGTTGTGTTTGATTCATTATCAATGAATTAGCAGATCAATAACCCTATAGACTAACCTAACCTAACCTAACCTAAATGAAGACCATCACACATGTTTATGTATGTGAAAACAAGAAATTAGATGCATATGGTTAATGTTACAAAATTAACCTAAAAACATCAAAATTTGCTCAATATGCTGAAAAGTCACTTTTTAGCAATTTATAATTACTTACCCAAACTGCCAAACATTCCCAAATGTTTTTAAAGTTATTGTTTTTTAAGGTATAAAGAGAATTTATGTGACGTTCCGCTTATTCTAAGTACAAAATATTTGACTTGATTTCGCACAAGAATCTTATACTTTCAAATCTTTAACCATTAAACTATCAAAAGTCCAATTTTATTTATGTTTGGTCCTAAGTTTTAGATATCACCGTATATCAACCAATTAAGTAACATTCAAACAAGATTATAAGATCAAAATAATAGACTGGTAAATTAGAATTAATTGAAAATTTGTTAATCTATAAAGGCATAAAGCTTTGTTGGGTAGTTCATGCAATAATTTCTTTCTATCAGGGATAATTTAGTCAACTTCATTCTCCAAAACTGATAATCACCCTATCTTGTTATATAAACTCATTTATTCAAGCGGCAATTTCTGGCCTTTCTGTTGCAAAAAATTGCAAAATTCGCTATCTTTATTTCTTATTAATCTCTTACCTGTTTTTTGTCCTCTATTTGATCATCCAAAAAATTCTCTATCCTAAAAAAGCCTGAATAATTATAAAAATTAAGCATAATTTAATAATTTATGAGAGGTCAGCAATATTATTATAATAATAAAAATGCAATCTTTGGGTTTGAAAGTGTTCACTGATTTTGGGGTAGCAGCAAGAAAATCATGTAATTCAAAGAATACCAACTTAAATGGGTTATCGGATTATGAAATGGGTACCCGAAAAAGTTGGGGTTGTTCCACCATTGGAGGTAGAAATGGAGGATATTGTAGAATAGTGGCTTGTTCTTCTCAGACAAATGCTGGTGGAGAGAGTAGCCCGAGTTCAAGCCCGATTCCTGGCCCGGTTGAGGATCAAGGTCAGCCCGGTCTTCTTTCTCGGACTCAAACTTATGCCATGCTTAAGCAACAAATGGAGGTTGCAGCCAAGTCTGAGGTAAAACAATGGAATTATTTACTTTTTGATTGATATATTTATTGAGTTTTTTATTTTTATTTTTTTTATTTATTTATTATTTTATTGATTGATTGATTATGAGTTACTGGAGTTGGGTTTTTGTAGTTATTTGAATTTGGCTTTAATTTTGAATTTAGGGAAATATTGGCTTGTTTTTTGAGTTGTGAAATAATTAAGGTGATTGGTGGAACTTTGTTAGGTTTTATGGATGTAAATTGTGGAAACAAAAGGCAAACTTATGCTCCTTATTTTTGTTGTGTGATGCTACTTGGGTGATCAATGTTACTAACTATGTAGTGGATGGAAATGTTTAGGGAAATGTTATTATTCTGTATGGTATAATTTCGAGTTTTGATCACTTGTGTATATCGAAAAATGATTTTGTTCGGAGAGTATGGTTTTCTTGTATACTAATTATGTAGTGGATGGAAATTGTCTGGTATGTTGGTATTATAATTCAGAATGACCACCTTTGTTCCCATTCTCATTGATTGATTGTTGCTCATTGAACAACTAAAAGCTTAAGTGAAGCATGTCGAAAACAGTGTTTTTTAGATAGATACGAAGTACTTGACATGGTTGAAAATTATGACTTCCAAGTGTTTATATGTTTGGATCACTACAGGTAAAAGTATGTTATTGGTTCTAGATAACACTAATTAGCATAATGATTTGGATGTATAGTTTGTTGTGTCACTTTAATAGAAAGCCATTGCCAGACTTCATATATGCGTGCAGTTTTGAGTTTTATTTAACTTTAACATGTATGGAATTGGGTTTGAATGCTGCAACACTATTTTTGTCTAAGATTCATTTATGAATTTGAAAGTGTATTTTAGAAAATCGCTTAGGGCAGAGGGTTAGGTGAAAAAAAATAAAAAAATCATGCATTCCACTCTTTAACATTCTAACTATACAAATGAGTGGATGGCTTTCGCAGGAGTTGGCTCATTATTATTTTTACTTCATTACTAAGAGCAGTTCTCTGCTGTAGTTTTAACATTTGATTTCTGCTCGCTTTGCTTTCAGGATTATAAAGAAGCCGCGAGAATACGTGATTCATTAAGATTATTTGAAGATGAAGAGCCAGTTTTGCGGTTGAGGAGGCTTTTGAAAGATGCTATTGCGGAAGAGAGGTTCCAGGTGCTCCTCTTTTTTTTTCCTTTCCTTTCCATTCCTTCATTAAGACTTTTTTTGGCCGGGATGGGAATTTCCTGGAAAATTTTATCAGTTTACTGTGTGCATATCTAGAGTTATGAACTTGAAATGATCAATTAAATGGAACTGTTTACAAAAAATTCTGATATGATAGGGCACAAAGTACTCTCTTACGGCATTGAAACTTGATGCATGTGTGAGTTTGCCATATATTATACTCCGTAGTATCGTAGGTACATATATAGATGTGGCACATGAGTTGAACAGAAATATAGTTGATACCAATGGACAAGTATGCTTCTGTCAATGGAATTGTCATTATGATTCTCACTGCAAAACAAAATCTCAAGAAATAGGCAATTATTGGTATCTAATTTGATGAACTTAGGATTCTTGTGGTACCGAAAAGTGAAGAACCCGGGAGAACAAGGAATAGAGAGCTTCCCACCCCCACCCCTCTTCTCCGATTGACTCTTCTGAAAGAGTCTCAAAGCCAAGGGACTGAAGGGAGTAATATTTAAACAAGTAGGGTGGGTTACCTAGGTAAGAAAGACTGGGGCTGCTAGTTCTTTACTAAGAGGGAAGACGAAGGAGGATCTTAACACTTTGTTTGGATTGTAGGAAATGGAGGGAAAGGAAGGGAAGGGAAGGGAAATGGAGGGATGGATCTTTCTTTGGATAACAAATAAGGAAGGAAGGGAAATAGAGGGGAGAAATGGAGGAATTAAATTGCTAGAAATTGATCTCTCCAACAATGGGGAGATTTGGAAGGAAAACTCATCATTCTTCCCTCCCCTTCACCTCCTTCCCCTTCCCTCCCCTTCACCTCCTTCCTCTTCTTTTCCTTCCCCTTTCTTTATCCAAACACACTGTAAAAGATTGGTTCTTTGCCACACTATGAAGGGAGGATTTTACAAACTTATAAAGCCACTTTCACTCTTTATATTAGCACTTCACCAAACTTGACTTAGAATAAATTTTTAGGACCCACTGCTAAGTCCTGACGTTTGTTCTTGGTTGAGCAAGTTGATGTGCATGCCCAAACTGAGACTGCTAGATTTAAGATGCCAGAATAGAATATAGTTTATGTGATTCGGACAAGACATTGGTTTCTAAGATGCTCCTGTTGCTTTATTTCTCACTTCAGACTTTAGAACTTAAGCACTAAGCTCTTCAAGTTTACATTTTGTTCCAGATTGGAGCATGTTGCATACATGATCTGACATTCTACCTTAGTTTCAAATGTAAGGTTTTAGGAGTCTGTTGCCATTGGCATTTGCTATACTCCTGGTTACATGGACATCTCTTGAAAGAATGTAGTTTATTGTTTGGGAATTAATGATTCTGTACCCTTGTTTTGCTACTTTAAAATTGACTAGTTACATAAATAATTATTCACTGTCCACAGGATGCTTCAAGGTATAGGGATGAACTCAAGGAGCTCTCTCCACATTCTCTTTTGAAGTGTTCCAGTGATGCTACTACTTTGGTACGTATCTAGGCCTTTTATCTATGTATACTTTGTATCAATTTTGGTGTTATTCACTTGTGCGGTTGTGCTTGTGCCCCTGTTGTAACTTGAGCAAATGATAATTTAGTACTTACTTTTAATAATGCTTGCAGTTTCTGTTTTGCCGGTTTACTTTTGAATTTGGGAACTTTTAGTTTTAATTTCTGTAACATGATGTAGAACTAGAAAAGTGTGTAATCTTCTTTTACGTCCTCTAGTATGTGATCTTGGCTGGTGACTCATTCAGTTATTTCTATTTCTTTCCGGATTTGATGCCTATTCCCTGCCTTATTTCTTTGTTGGTGTGGCAGATTGTTGGGAATTTTCGTGATGCTCCCCTGAATATCAGGTGTAGGAAACTAGGAATACCAATATTTATTGTCCTACAGAAAACAGCTCACTTAAAAACTTAATATCTTCCATCTATTCCACCTCAATTAAGAGGTGGTTTATGTCCTAACTATGTCCTAACTCCTAAGTATCATTAGTTCTTTTCCTGTCATTCAACAATAATACCTTGATCCAAGTAATCCTGTCATTTTGTAAGAGGTAACTTTAAGTGTTACTGAAATCAAGATAGTAAGTTAATGTTAATTATGATTAGCATCTCTTATGGTGACTTAGATCGATGAAAATGAGCGAGGTGTGTCAGTGAAAAAATGAGCGAGGTGTGTCAGTGAAAAGACTAACAATACTTTGGGGTGTTTAAATCTTAGTTTTCTACACTTCAGAGTGTCTGTAAGAAGATAGCTCTACTTAGCATCTTCGTCCAATGTTCCTCCTTTCAATTGGAGGATAATCTGGAAAGCTAAAGTACTCAAAAGATTAAGTTCTTTGCTTGGAGGTGCATCAAGGATGCCATACCTGTGCGAATGAGGCTTGCTGCGCGAGGTATGGAGGTTGATCACATATGCCCGATGTGTGGTGAAGCGGAAGAAACCACTATGCACATGCTGCTACTTTGTCCTAAAGCAGCCTCGATTTGGAGACACTCAGTGCTTAGGCTAGACTCAATTGGTGAAGAGGATGGATGTTTTCGTAGTTGGTGTGCTAGCAAGAGTGAAAAGATTAAAGACCCCAACTGGTAGGATATTTTTTGGTGTCTTGCGTAGGGTGTGTGGCTGCAGCGAAATGCATGGGTTTTTGAGAAGAAATCGAAGCCTGAGTATGATATTATTCACAAGGCTGTGGGGCTTGTTGGCAAGTACGAAGAGGCGACGAAGGTGGCCTCCCCTGCAATGTTGAGTCAGTGCTTGGGTTCGGTGTCGAAAGCACCTCCTGCTGGGGTGTATAAGTTGAATTCTGATGCAAATTTCAGCATACAGCAGCAGCTTGGTGTAGGAGGCGTGTTAAGGGATGCTGAGGGGTCGGTTGTTGTGGCCTACTGCTCGAATTTTAAGGGTAGTTTTGAGGTGGATTTGGGTGAAGCTATTGCAATGCGGCAATGTCTTGTGATTGCTCTAGAAGCCGGCTTTAGTAGATTTGTGCTTGAAACTGATAATATCAAGCTCTTCCACCATATTCTTAGGCTGTCTAATCAATGTATTTCTTGCTCTTTCTCTTTTGTGAAACGAATGGGTAATAGTGTTGCCCATAGCTTAGCTAAGTTGAGTAGTTCTTTTAGTGAGTTTTGAGTTTGGTTAGAAGAGTATCCCCCAGAAGTTCATGGGGTGATTTGTAATGATCTTGAACTTTTGATGAGTTAATAAATGGCTAAGCTGTGTTTTGTGTCAAAAAAAAAAAGAAGATAGCTCTACTTGCGAGGTCTGCTTTCTTTTAAAAAATTTTCCTTAGGATGTGTTGGAAATTGAAGTATGAGGAAAAAGAGTTGAAATTTCTTTTTAACTGAATTGTTGATGTATGGAAAGTGGTGTATTCCGATAATCATTATTTTTGGTTATTTTTCTCGTCTGTTTGTCTGATCTTTGCTATTTTGAAAGGGGAATGCTCAGCTTCTGATATTGTTATGTGATATTTCCATGAGAAGAATCCTCATCTGTAAGTTCGGTTGCAAATGGATCACTTAGTTTAATGTCTATTTTGTTATATTACAGGGGATTCGTGTCCAAGTTAGGAGTGTCTACATCGAGGGACGTAGTCAACCTTCAAAAGGGCACTACTTTTTTGCTTATAGGATTAGAATAACTAACAATTCAGACCGTCCTGTACAATTATTGAGACGACATTGGATAATAACTGATGCCAATGAGAAAATTGAAAATGTCTGGTGAGTTGTCTCCTTTCACGTTTGAGAACTTCCCATCTATTCTGGTCTATTCTTGAACTTCTTTGTTCTTACAATGTCTTTCTTTGCCTTCCAGGGGTATAGGAGTCATTGGTGAGCAACCAGTTATACTTCCAAATACTGGCTTTGAATACTCTTCTGCATGCCCTTTAAGTACTTCTAATGGAAGAATGGTGAGATTCTGTTATTGCGATTCGACTCAAAGTCGTCAGTTATACATGTAGCATATCATTGAAATATTCTAAATTTAATTTTATTCTGCTGCATAAGGTTTGCATCTGAATTGCAATAGTATGCCTTGTATAATAAATCTGTAAAGAGTCTGGTCACCTTATTTTCTCCCCCAAACACTGGTGCTGAAATGCCCCTACACCCACCCCCCCCCCCAAAGTACTTTAAATTGCTCCCGAGGAACAGTGAAATACAGTTAAATTTTAGTGTGAGACGTATTTGAAACATCATTTCTTTTGTTAATGTCTTGCATTGAAACCAACATATGCTGGAAGGTTATTGTTAAAAGTATATTTCGTATAATTTATTAGAGGCACAAGACAATAATGCATGTTTATATTGAGAGTCATATTCCATTAGGAAATGTAATACGATTGTTATTTATTTACTTTGCAGGAGGGTGATTTTGAAATGATTCATATTGATAAAGTAGGATCAAGGACATTCAATGTAGCTATTGCTCCATTTTCGCTCTCCACACTTGGTGACGATAGTGATCCTTTCTGAACTGAGAGCTTCAAAAGTAAAGACTATCATTTATATGGATGTTACATATACTTCGTATAATTGAAGCCCTATGAAGTGATTATGTTTAGTTTGTTGCATTAGCCTTGCCATCAGAATGAGAAGCGAAGAGTATGTCCTCACAAGTGCTGAAAAGATGAAGCAGAAGATCCGACTTTTGGATGCACAATTATAGTCACAATGTCGTGTATGTGTTGAGTCGAAGGAAGTTTTACAGTTTATATTAGTAATATTGTCATCTCTTCCCTATTCTGCATACACCACTTCTCTCCAAAACTTTCCTTGTAAATTGTAATTACATAGAACTATAGAAGTGCTATTTAGATATGACTGTTTACAAATCACAAAAGTTAACCGATCATATCTCTGCCCTATCGTATGTAATATTACTATTGAATGCACTGTAATATAAATTTAAAAGGTTTGCAAAATGTAATCATTTATGAGTAATATTCGCGAAAATAATAAAAATAATAATAAGTTGATTGTGGGTGAATTTACCTTTGTCCATTCAAAATCTCAGACCGTTTGTTCAATTATTATGTAGAAAGGATTGTATTACAAATGAGGTTCAATTTTAAACATCACATTTCACTCTAAGACTAAAATCAACTAAACTAAACATCGTAAAAATCTAATTGTCATCCATCAACTCGCCAAGTGACAACTAAAGATTGTTACGAATTTAACTCTCACATAGTTTATGCCAACAATTGAGCCAAACAAATAGTATTCGACTACCCTTAATAATAATAATAATAATAATAATAATAATAAATAAGTCGTATATAAAATTCCTATACTTAAATAGTTAAATGAAAGCATATAATCGGTATATATGAAAAAAAAAAAAAAAAAAACCTACAACTCCATATACTCCGTAGTATAAGTTTTATAATCTCTCTATTGTACTTTAAAATAATTTTTGCTTGCGTCTCAAAAATAAGTTCGTGCTAAAATTTTCCTCCTTTAGCGTCTAGGAAAGTATTCCCAACACAATTTATACCTGTCTAAATCATTTAACGACATAAAATTAGTTACAAACTTGTCACTTAGCATGCATGTTCAATGTTTGGCTCTTTTTTTTTACCTTAAAAACATCCCATTTTTCTTCAATTCTAACTTCACTTCATTCCAACTCCATGTCTTTTTTACATACATAAAATCCTTTACCCTTTTTCATTTTATTTGCATGCCATTCGAAAAAAAAAAAAAAAACCTCGCGCTACTTTTATTTCTCTTGTTGACATACTTGGGATCTCCTGTGCGTGGGCTAATTAAACCAATCGTTTTGAACGTTGCTCGATTGTTATTCAATGGCTGGATATGTTTACAACGGTATAATTTTATGGTTCCTTTTTCTATCACCGTATTGCATAAATTTCTCTATCTATATATTGTTTCATTTTGTTATCATAATTTTTTTTAGTGTCTTATGTGAGCTATATGACAATGAATAGATCCTAGATTCCTAGTTAAACCAAGGTACAATTTAGTAAGTTAACTAATTCGTCAAAAAGGTTAAGTTGGGCTATCACTTTGACAGAGGCCCATCCTAGCTGTCTTGATTTGGGCCCAAAACTAATCAATTGGGCCTGAACCTGTCAAGCTAGCTTCTATTTAGCCCAACCATCTTGCATGTAACTCTATATTCTATGTTCTAGCTGTGGTCCACTGGTCCTGTGGACTGTGGACTTGTGGAGTATGATCACATAATTTCTCTCATCAGACAACTATATTTCCCCCTTGATTAAACTTTTAAATGTTCTAATATTACTTCTCTAATGATAGCTTTAACTCGAATTAGTAAAGAAAATCCATAACTCAAACTTGCTTGTACGTGAAAATAATACATCATGTAGATTAAACCTCCGTCTTTAAATAACCTCCACTAAATGAGAGTGATGCGAGTAATTTAAACAAAATGGATGATAATTCATATGAACATCATGTAAATTGCAATATGCACGATTGGTCGATTGTATTATGCTAAAACCTCCATATTTAAAAAATTCTACTCCATAATCATATAGACAATGATATATAAACAATACGAGTATATAATAAACTGTCAAGTATTAACACGTAAGTTGCAATTAATAGTTCTATTGTATTACTAAAACCTCAAACTTATAATATAATACCTCGCTCCAATCAAATGAGAATACTATTTAAATTGACTTAAACAGAGTAACGATCACTAGCTAGGGTTTAAAGTAGAAAATTAAAACGTACAAGTTTCACAAGCGTGGACATTAAAAGAGTAAAATAAGTTGATACATTTGATAATTATTTGATAATGAATCTTTCATGAGAAATAAGTTAATTTCAACCCCTTTAAATGTGTCTATAATTAAGGAACAGCAAAAAAAAAAATGTAGAGAATTATGAAGGCAAATTGAGCCTCTACTTTTTTTTTTGGCTTAAGAGAGCTTTTATGACGCGCGTTCTCTAGCTTAGCTTTATTATACGTAGTTCTTTGTATTTGTACAATGCATAAAAGTTTAATTTTGAGAAAAATCCTTTAGCTTTTTTGAAAATCTCTACGACTTGCTATATACATTTTTTAGTTGCTACTTTTATTGAGAATTTTTGCTTATCCTTTTATAATAGAGGGAGTCCCAATTGATATCAGAGATTAACATTCCAGTTTATCTCCTCTCACAATTATATGCATTGAATTCTGTGTCACTTTATTATTTTACTTTTGTCATTTAAAAAATAAAAGAGGGAGTCTCAGTTGATCTTAAATATTAACATTCCAGTTTATCTCCTCTCACAATTTTATGCATTGAAATCTGTGTTACTTTATTATTTACTTTTGTCATTTAAAAAATAAAAGAAATTGATTAAGGTGTGAGAGGAGATACATTCATAAATTTATCTCAGAGAGAAACTTGAATCTACCCCCTTACAATATTATAACCAAAAATACAATTGTTTAATGAGTCACAGACAACGTATTATTCAAAAGCACTCCATTTAAATTACCCTTTCATATGTACATAATACGGAGTACTAAGTTGTTAACTATCAAGTCCAACTCATATAACCAAGCAAAGCTTGGTGGGGATTGAACTTACCTTGTGACTTTAAGCTCACGATTGAGTTCGAGCCCCACCAATTACAATTGCTTGGGAGTAGGGGGATTCCCTTACCTCCCCCCTCTACTCTCAAATTTGACCTGCGGAGCTGAGCTAACTTAATACGTAAGAGGTGCTGTTTTAGTGAGGTCCTTCATCTTACCTTAAAAAAAAAAAAAAATCAAGTCCGACCCATATTGATTCATACAGTACAATAGTGTCTCACAAATTTACAGATGTAAAATAAAGTTCGTTTTATTCGAATCACTTCTTAAGTTCTTATTTTAACTTTGACAGTATTAGAAGTGTTTCACAATATTTAACTTTATCCAACCCAACTCATATTATTAATTATTCGATATACACGTAATAGTAACAACAAAGATACCAAAAAAAATATAGTGGACCTACCATGCAAATATGAAATCTGCAGTATTCGTTGAGATTATGGTTGTATATCTCTGTTACCACCCTAACTAATAATCTAACTAAGTAAGGCCATAAAATGGCCAATTTATATGGCTCATTTTCATTCATATTTACGTACATATATTCTATTTTTAGCAGTAGCTTGTAATATAATACGGCTAGGTTATGTTATGGGGCCTAGTTATGGCGTCTAAGAGAAGCCAACCAATAAACTTAAGCGTGTTAAGAAAGTGACAAACTCCATATAAATATAAATAATAAATGAGGTCGTCTTCAAGTCAATAATCACCGACTTTATGGTGCCACATTACGTATTTCTTGCATGGGAATTACTAACCAGCTAGTATGAACTTCTATGAGTTGCATGCATTTCTCCTCACGTTTTGTTCATCTAGCTAGCATATGAATTGAATAATGTTATGGTTAAATTTACATTATTTATGTAATCGTAAACAAAAATTGGAGATGCATGCAATCTGTCATGATAATTTTACAGAACTATTTTTTGAACTTACAAGTATTATTAGTTAAGAACTGACATGATAATTTTACATAAAAATTTCCCTCATCTCCTTAGGCACAAAGAAACAAACTTACAAAATAAAATGAAAGAGATGTTTATAATAAGATGTGTATAGGACTATAGGTTATATTCGTAGTACTTACACAAGGCAATAGTTGTATGCCTTGCGTGAAGCAGTAATTGGCAGCGATGCTTTTGACCTTTTTTGTACCATATTTCTCTTACACTGTCTCCTTACAAAACTACCCTACTTCATCACATATTCACATGTCAATATAATGCATGTAGTATGCACAAAACAAAAAATAATAAAAAAAAATAAAATTATGAAAGCTGTGACCTTTTGTAGATGACAGCCCAATCCTCACCTTTGGATCCAAAACATAGAAAGAATCTCATGCATGTATAATCCAGAATCCCAATAAAATGTCATGCATGCATGATATTTATGCTTTAAAAGTTGTACTCATTACACATTTTTCCATAATTATTTAACTACTTATATTTGATTGATCAGATACATTTAAAGCTATCTCAGCATAACATTTGACCACTACAATTTCATGATTTTTGCTCAATTTTATGAATTTTGCCTAAATTTTTTATTTTTTTGGGTGATATGAGCTTATTATTTATTTTAATTATTAGTCGTATAATTTTGATTAAAGATATACTCGGTATGTTATTCTTAGGATTGTTAATCACGAGTAATAAATAATGTTTTATATTTTTAATTTTTACTTTCTACATGCAATCTATAAATAACGTTTTATATTTTCAATTTTAACTTTTCACATGCAATCTATATATGAAGATTACCCAAAGTACTTAATATTTTATTTTTCCTACTTTGTACAAATATAATTTTAGTAGAGAGTAATTTATTTACTATTGAGGTAAAAAAGAAGCATCTTAAAAGGCTTATTAGTAGCACAAAATCCAAATTGAAAACAGAATATTTGTCCTCCCACCCAAAATTTTGCTCAGTTTTCTAAGGCTGGTCATCTTAAGAAAGGAAAAGGTGACAAGACGTTCATATGTTGAAGAGTAGTACTTTATTTAATCTGCATGGACTTATGGAGATTGCGACAAGAGACTGTTAATGTGTTTAATTTTTAATTTTTACTATTAATATTAAAAAAATTATTTTTATTGAAAAGGAAGAAGCTTGTGGTCCAAGCATATGAATTGGCACCTCCCTCCAACAATCCAACATGGCAACATCTTATGAGCTACGAGTAGAATAGTTTAGTTTTGTAAACTTTGTTTAAATTTAAACAAAATATGAAAATACTAACTAAAGATTTAAGTTTAGGATAATCACAATGTGTTACAATCTTCTTACTAAAAGGTTAAATTATAGACTAGTTTTACTAATGTTACACTAACTACGTATTAAGTATATACCATGTCTTGATATTACTTCTATAAAATAAATTTAAGTAATAATATTCGTATTCAAACTTACAATATTTTTAAAGTCAATAATAAAATGCCTATTGTCTCGTAAATTAACGGTAATATGCTTACTTCGTATTAATTTATTATCGACCTTTTTCGAGTAATATACTCGTAGCAAACAATAGAAAGGAAAAAGCTTGTTCATTAAGCATATTACTAGCGCTTAGCACATCATCTTCCTATACAATATTCCCTCCTTTATATTCCCCTTGTTAAAATCTTGTCTTCATTTTTGTATTTTAACCAAAAACAAAAGAAGAAGAAGAAGAAGCAAAGCATCTCCATTCCACACATTACACATGACCACCTTTGCCTTGCTTTCCATCCCATGCAAGTATCTAGCTTTTCCTTTGCTTACAATTTAGACCTTTTTTCTTCTCTAATTCTAATCCTTTCTTCTTCATATTACACAAAAACAATATTATTTCCAAAAAAAACACCTATTTTGTAAATCCTAAAACTTTTTGCACAAAAAAATTACAAAAAAAAAATAAAATTAAAAATAATATTTCCCTCTTAAAAGTTTGGAATCTTTGCTCAATTTTCACAATTAAACCAATGTTGGTTTTGGTTTATTAGTCATATATAACCCATAAAATTGCTTAACACCCCCAAAAAACACCAACTTTCTAGTCAAGTTTCATCATTGTTCTAGATTTCCCAATTTGAGCTTTTTCTCTAGATTTTGTGGGGTTAATTTTTTTTGTGATATTTTTTTTTTGGTTTTTCAAGAGCTTTGTTTTCTTCATTCATGGTTAAGTGTGGGAAGTGTTGAATGTTTGTCTCTAATAATATCTTCTTTCCAAATTCATGGCATTGAAAGACCCCCCATTTTCAATCCCCTGCTTTTGTAGTCTCCTCTGTTCTTGGATTTTGTTTCAATTTTTCTAACAAATTCATTTTTATCAATTTTTGTTCTGAATCTTTTCTGGGTTTTGCCAATTTCTCCACAATCAATGAAACTATAAAAATCATTTCTTTCACTTGTAAGCTATCAAAAAAACCCAAAATTTCCTTGGTTATTTCAACACCCACCAATTTTATTTCTTCAAAAAATAAAAAAATCATAAAAAGAGTACCAAAAACCCCCCTATAAAATCACAAAAAAATTTGGGTAAAATTCAAGTAGAAGACATAAAATTAGTAGTAGAAAAATGGGTTTATTGTCAGGAACACTAAGAGCAACTTGGCAACCAGTGATGACAGGTGATACATCAACTTCAAAATACTGGCTAAATTGGAGGGTTTTGCTATGTGTAATTTTGGTATTAATCTCCATGATTTTTGCCTCATTTCTAATATCAAAACATGAGGGCCCAAGAAAATCTTCTAAACCAAATTTGGATGAAGAAGAAATTTCAAAAGAAAAGCCAGGAATTTTATATGCAGATGAAGTTTGGATGCCTTGTCTTAAAGGAATGCACCCTGGTTGGCTCTTAGCTTTCAGAGTTTGTGCTTTCTTTGTGCTCTTAATTCTCCTCATTGTCAATGTCATTGTTGACGGTGGCTCCATTTTCTACTATTACACTCAGTAAGTTTACTATCTTGGGTTTTAATTCTAAGTTACCTCGCCTCGAGTAGTTCTATTATAAAACCCGAGTGTACCTAACAAATGGGGTTTTTGATTAAATTGCGATAGTAAATCATGAATGTATATTGGGGTGTATAATGGAATCCATGCAACTTTGAGCATATGATTAGTGGGTTTTTAATCAAATTACGATGTTAAATGGGTGATCTTAAGTGTGTTTAATTAATTATATGATGATGATGATGATGCTAATGGGTTCTTTTTATTATTTTTCTTTAAATGATTGATAGGTGGACTTTTACACTTGTTACCATATATTTTGCGGTAGGTTGTTATCTAAAATTACATTCTTATTTCTCATTTGATTAATTCAAATTGGATTATTTTGCTAATTAGCTTTAATTTTGTTGTTGATTGTAGTTAGGATCGGTGTTATCCATGTATGGCTGCTATGATTACCACCAAAAAATTAGTGGTGATAGAGTTCATAGTGAAGGGATTGATGCAGAAAGAGGTGTTTATTTAGTCCCTATGAATGGTGGAACTCCGAATGCAATTAAAGCCAGTTTTAGCACCCAACAAATTCTTCATCGGCCTCGCGCTACTGCCGGTTTCTGGGGCTATGTCTTTCAGGTTATATTTCAGGTAAAATGAATGATGAAAGTATAAGAACTTGGTGTATAATGTTATGTTTATTGCTCTGTTTCTGATGCAGGGCATTTTATGTTATGCTAATTTTATTTGTATGAATGAAGTAACAAATATTTATGGTATGCTTTTTTAATGCAGATGAATGCAGGAGCAGTGATACTCACAGATTGTGTATTTTGGTTCATAATTGTTCCATTCCTAGCAACCAAAAATTATGATCTCAATTTTGTAAGCTACTAATCTCTAGCTTAAAACTTTGCATAGATTAAATTCAATATTTCAATTGATATGATAAGAATGTGACATTATTTTCCTAATCTTGTTGTGATGGGCAGTTCATTATTAATATGCACACAATCAACCTTGTTTTCCTGCTTGGTGATACCGCGTTGAATTGCTTGGTAAGTTGATCATTCGAACCTCACTATCTAACGAAAATGAGCAACATATTCGATTACTTATTCGTGTTATTTTCGATCTCAGAGGTTTCCTTGGTTTCGAATTGCATATTTCATCCTTTGGACATCATTCTTTGTCATTTTCCAATGGGTCCTTCATGCTTGTATATCTATTTGGTAAGCCATACTCCTTTGTTGTATTATGCTTCTATGCTTCTTCATGAAGCAATAATTTTCGGGTTTCCTTCCTTTGTGTCTCATTCTCTAACGGGTTCGTTTTCACTCATATCATAAAAACAGGTGGCCATATCCATTTTTGGACTTGTCGTCCTCATTCGCCCCATTATGGTAAGAATTTCTTGTTCTTTTACCCCTAAATGATTTCAATAATGTTATAGTTGTTTGTCAGTTGAAATATTACACTCCCTCCATCATGCCTCATGAGAAAATTCGCGTATACTATTTTAGAATGCCCGCAAGCAAAATTAGTGAAAGCCGCAATTTGGATGGCATTATAAGAATCTAATTAGCTCAAATTGTGCAATGCAGGTATTCTTCAGTGGCAATAATGCATTTCCCATGTTATGGCATCTTCTTCTTGATAACAAAGCTCAAGCATAATCTCTTGTCAAAACATTTTCCTATGTCCTACCAATGCTCTAGGTGATAAAGACAAAGAAAGTTTGTCGGAAATTGAAGCCTAAACCAAAAAAGATTTCATGATTTTGAACAGATTTTAAAGAACAGCATTAATTTTCGTTCGTTTCGATTATTTAAGAGAGGTAGAAATTCAGAGCTAAGTATACAGATCAGGAAATATACATATACTAGATAAAATGTTGGCAAGTTTTGTTTTTAGAAATGTGGTAGTTTGTGATCAAGTAAACATTCACATATAGTGGATGGAACAATTGTAGTTACCATATTATATAGGTTTTGTATAAAAAAATTGCATATACAAAAATGATGATTTTACAAGTATATATACTCATATTCTCAAATTCGTCACATAACTTATATGTATCGTGTTATATTTTCACATTTTTACATGTTCTAATTTGTGAGACGTAAAAGTGAAAGTCTGTGTACGATGTGTTACATGTTCAAAATCATTCTTCCTCATTCCTAATTTGCAATGTATGTCACTGTTTTGGAAAAATATTACTTCATTTTTTTTATATTTAACGCGTTAAATTTTGTAACTATATTTTATAAATGGTCGAAACTTTAGGCATGGGAATATGAGATTATTGGAACTTGTAAGCCTAGATGTATTTTTAATAAAAGTGGATCAAATAAAGTGGAATCAGATTCTGTAACTGTTAAATCCTGTAAATAGAAAGGTTAAAGGGGGTAAGTAAGGTGAAGTTAGGCATTCAAATAATCATGTCTCCAACTAAAAATAACAAAATAAGATTCTCATCATTTCAAATTTTGTACAACTGAAAGCCAGGAAGATATCGTCAAAACATCAGGATGATCAGGATCAGGTGGGTGGTGGGTGAAAAGGTATATTTGGCATGCTAAAAGGAGTAAAGCCCAACCAAATTTCCTAGATAAAATTACTCCTAATATAAAATCTTGGTACATCTTTACTTTTTAAAGATAATTTTCATTTTATCGAGTGATGACTGCGTAAAATTGAAACATGAAACGTTTAGTTGAAATTTTACTAAGCAATTTTTTTATATTTCTTTTATATCTTTTGTTATAACTTTTTAACATGACTTAGCTCACTTTTTATTTTGTAAAAATAGAGTTTGTTACTCTATAAATATAAAAAAAAGTAAATAAATAAATAAATACATGTACATCATCCTTTTATAAAAAAAAATGATTATAATTAGATGCTACATTATATTTACTATGTTATTGAAAATATACTAAAATGATGGTTAAAAAAAATATACTTCGTATAAAATATTACATTATCTAATGAGCTTATATATTTAGAGCTGAAGCACAACAATATTAATGTCAAAGTCAAGTTCGGATTTTTAGTTTCACACCTACTTGATTCCAGTTTCTAACAAATATGGGAAATTATGTTTTATGGTAAATCATTTAGAATTTAAATAATAAATATGGATAGAGTAAGTTTTAGTGAGTAGTGATTGGAGAGTCAACCAAAGTGATGGTAAATGGGCCATATGATTGTCTGTAATTTCTGCTTTACATGTATTAATATAGTGGTGGAAATAAAGATAGGTCAAAGATGATTGGAGAGTTTTGAGCTTTATAAAGTTGTGTTGATGGAGGAGAAAAGAAAAAATAAAGAAGCTTAAAATATCATGTTACTATACTGTGAAATAGTTATCACCGACAGCTTTTTTTTTTTTTTTTTTTTTTTTTTTTTTTTTTTTTTTTTTTGTGCAATGCACAATGTACATGAAGGATTATGGCTATATTTGGGAAGGAATCATGACATGTTTGAAGGGTTTTAGAATGTGATACATTCATACATATCATTCATGGAATGAACGAGCGCACTAAAAACTTTCTCAATTTTAAAATAGTTGCACGACTTTGATTTTATATTTTTTTATTCATAGCTATAATCATTACTCCGTAATATATATGATAACTGACAAGTAAAGATTATTAAATAAAAAAAAAATATATTGTAAGTATACATTGTGACAAACCATAACAATTTGATATTTGAGTAATACTCTAGATTCTAGTGTAATCAAGAGTTGTAAATAGCAATGAGGTGTGAACAAAGGTTGTGAGTTCTTTACTACACATATTTTGTTATTTTACTTGATCTATTAGTAAGTACTCCTTCCACCTCAAAACATTGTACACTCTATTATGAGATATCAAATACTAAGGATCGAATAAGCTCTTAAACATAAAGAAGCAATACCCCTTTCAATAATTTCAATTTTATAAAATGTGACTCTGTAATTGGGTTTAATAATATTGTACGAGTATTAACTAAGGTTATGTTTAATCAAATCAGACAATTATATTAGAATAGACCAAATTAGAAAAATCAAATATAATCTGTCTTTCGAAAAATAATAATCGAAACACCTCATTTCAAATGAAGAGAACAACGCCTAAGTAGTAGTACTCCGTAGTATGATTATACCAAATATTTTATGGTATGTTGTGTATTCCCCTCTTATCGCATTTAAATTTGATTCTCCAAGGCATTACTCTAATGTGCTTCCCTTTCACCAGTTGAGTGGAGCATTATCATTTGATTGTGCAACACTAAGTCTATAGCTGTGCAGTGTAAAAGTTCTTGACATGATGTCAAAGGTGGCTACGCTCTTTCTTCTTCGTTTTTCATTTTTCTTTCCCAATGTTGATACAACTACGAGTACTTAAGAAGCATTCACACTATATGCAAATAGTGAAAAGTTTCTTTTGGCATCGTTTGGGTTTTCTGTTTTTTGGTTTTTTTTTTTTTTTTTTTTTTTCAAAATCATATGATATATGTCATATAATAAATTAAAAATTAGTCAAATTTATTAAAATTATGATAATTTTGAAAACTGACAACAAAAAGTGGAAATACCTTTTTCTTATTTCCTGTTTTTGATTTTTTATTTAAAAAAAAATAAAATACTGAAAACAAAAAATGATGCCAAACAAGCCCTTAGTTACTCTTCAAAGACGTTTAAGTGACGTACACCATATTCTAAATGTTACTCCCTTAAACAAGGCAGTACGAAGTATACATTATTTTTGTCCGAATAAAGTCCCAAGAACTTTCAAATTACAAATAAGTGAGACTCTTAGGCGTTTTCATGGATCAAATTGGTGAAAATATAGAATAATTACTCGTGGTTTGATTCAAGTTAAAATAGTTGAGGATCCAATCTTCAACCTTTTACTTAAGTACCAAGGTTATAGAGGATCCAACACTGACTATTCAACACAGCCAAAATAAAAAGAAGAAATTATTCATACTTTACGGTAAAAATCACACTAAGGAATGAGATTGACAATATCAGTATTAATATTACAATAATATATAGCTTCAACTTCTCTTTCCTTTACATATTTCTACTTATTAAAACCACAATTTCTATACAAAAGAATGGCCAAAATTTTATGATGTCATCTTCAGCTTTACATTACAAATTAGTGAATAACAGATACAGTTATACAAAGATGGTAATATGTTACAGTAGCAGCTTACAAGGGATCAAAGTGAGGTGTTCGGCAATGATCCCATCAAGATCACATTATCATTATCCTTAAGTCCCTTTTCTTGTCTCGAAATTGAGAACATACGTGAAAGGAGTCCGGATTTTGGATCAGATTTCTTCACCAATGATGACGAAAATCCTGAAGCACTGCCATCGTTCGCTAGCAGTTTGAGGACTGCTCCACATGGGCACTCCTGGAGTTTGTTGAGGCAATGCTTATGAAAGACTGATTTGCAAGACTCGCATCTCTGAATTTCCTCCTCCTGAAATATAATTTACAGAATGACTAGCAACAGTAAGAAATCGTGTTATCCTAAAAAGAATACGGAATACACTCAATAAGAATAATAATAGTAAATAGTAATTTCACTTTTGTGATATCAATTAGACTAGTCAAAGACACAAATCTATTGACAGCTCTCTTACATTTTTGCATTGCTAGATCTCAGCATACTTTCATTCAAATCCTAAATAACTGTTCCTAAATCCTAAGCCATTTGCTGATGTCGAAAACCAATATTCAGATTGAAGTATATACTTTTTTTTTGGTAAAAAGATTGAAGTATACTTGAAAGTTAAAAGATCAAAAGAAATATCAGCTGATAAGTTCCTCTCTTAGTTTTCCCTCAACTTTTATATCCCCTTTATTCTTGACAAGAGCGAGATTTCAGGTGTGGAGATAAGTTGTTGAGTGCTTGAGATAATAAAAGCGTGACAAACATTTATACCTGAAAAGGAAAGATAAGAGAGGATGGGTTATCACAAACTTGTCGAGCACCACAAGAAACACCAAGGTCGCAGCACTCAAGGCATAACTCTGTGATGTGCTCCTGGATTTTCTTCGACACAGCTTCTAGAATCGCCGGGAGTGCTACATAAGTGCAAAGTCAAATATCAGCTCAGCTTAGTTATGCAGGGAGGATAATAGACTTTCTATCACAAGTCACTCTCAGCAAAATTGAACTATACAAAGAGGGGGGGGGGGGGATAGAAGAAATAGAATTTTTAAAATCAGAATCATCCAGCAGGTCAACTCTTCAGACTTCAGTTATTTACTGATAAACTGCATCTAGCCGTGTAAGCAAGTGTAATATTGTATTATCAAGTTTTTTTTAACAAAAAAAGGACACCACACCACACCATGCACGTGCGTACGCGCGCGCACGCACACACACAGCTCTGGCCCATAAGTAGGAAATAACACAAGCTTAGTAGTACTAGTATTTATCTTCAGAATGTGTAGCTTAATCAGAGCCTCGCAAGTCACAATGTAAGATCAAGCCCAAAATTATACGAAGTAAAATGATGATACAAACTCAAAAGAGCATGAACCAATAAAAAAAGGCATGACTAATAACATGCACAAGACACACAGAATTTGACTCATGTGAGATGGAGAGTCTTGGGAGATTAATATATCACCAAAGAACTGAAATCAAAATTTCAAATTCTTGTTTCTTAATCAGGCAGAGGTGCGATTATACCCAAGTCGTGATTAGAGAAAACATAAATATTACAATGCTAGAAATTTCACATTTTCCCAAAACTCCCAAAAGTACATTCCAAACTTCCAAAGAGAGCAATTCATGTTTCCTAAAATCCCAAGTGAAATACACACTTAAAGATGGTTAATATGAATATGATAAAGCTTTCGACCAAACCAATCTTTATTTTCAAATTAATTTCTTTGTCAAATAATACCAATCCTCACATTTATGCCTTACATTCATCTTATCAGTCAGATGCAGAGTAATCATTCAAAAACTCCAGATAACGAGAATCCAGAAAAGGGTGAGACACTGAGACCTAAACAAAAAAATTCACATAGAAGGATG